CCTACAGAGACACCAAATAGACTGGACTAGAAAAGAAGTTCCCTCAGCATATAATAATCAAAACACTAAACATACAGAACCAAGCAAGAATATTAAAAACTGCAAGGGAAAAAGAGCAAGTAACTCATAAGGGCAGACCTATTAGAATTACACCTGACTTCTCAATGCAGAGTCTGAAAGCCAGAAGGGCCTGGACAGATGTTCTACAGAGACTCCTAAGAGACCACAGATGCAAGCCCAGACTACTATACCCAGCAAAACTTTCAACTACCATAGATGGAGAAAATAAGACATTTTATGATAAAAACAAATTTAAGCAATATTTATCTACAAATCCATTCCTACCGAAGGTGCTAGAAGGAAAACTGCAATCTAAAGAGGTTAACAACACACACACACACACACACACACACACACACACACACACACATATATATATATATAAAATAAATAATCCCAGACCAGCAAAATCAAGAGGGGAAGTGTGCACCTGCACATAATCACACACACATACACACACCACAACCACCACCACCACTAAAATAGCAGGAAACAAAAATCACTGGTCATTGATATCTTTCAATATCAAAGGTCTCAATTCCCCAATGAAAAGACAAAGACTAACAGAATAGATGGGAAAACAAGATTCATCCTGCTGTATCCAAGAAACACACCTCAACACCAAGGATCTAACACCTCAGGGTAAAAAAAATGGAAAAAGATATTCCAAGCAAATAAACCTTAAAGTAATCATTGTAGCTGTCTTAATATCTGACAAAATAGACTTCAAATCAAAACTAATCAGAAGAGCTGGGGAAGGACACTACATACTCATCAAGTGAAAATCCCACCAAGATGGCATTGGAATTCTTAACATCTATGCACCAAACACAAGGGCACCCAAGTCCATAAAAAGAAACACAACTGTATCTTAAATCACATATTGACTCCCACACACTGAGAGTGGGAAACTTCAATACCCTACTCTTACCAATAGACAGGTCATCCAGACAAAAACTAAACAGAGAAATGCTGGAGCTAACGGACGTTGTAAACCAAATGGACATAACAGATATTTATAGAACATTTCTTCCAGACACAAAAGAACTTGTCTTCTTCTCTGCATCTCAATTTTCTCCAAAACTGTCCACATACTCAGACACTAAGCAAATCTCAACAATACAGGAAAATTGGTATAACTCCCTGCATCCTGTCTGACCACTATGAATTAAAGCTGGAGATTAACAACAGAAACAACAGAAAGCTCATGAAAACTGAACAACTCATGACCTAATATGAAATGGGTCAAGAAAGAAATGAAAGACTTTCCAGAACTGAATGAAAATGAATACACAACATACCCAAACTTTATGGGTGTTGTAAGATATCTGATCACACTATGAACCCTGAGATTACCTTATTTACTAGAAAAACCTGCCTCTATGATGTGGCCCAGCCCTAGTACACACCCTTAATCCAAGAGTTTTCTGCTTTTTGTCAACAGGATTAAATAAAATCAATCATAGGTTAAGAGGTGGAGCAAGCAACTAGTTGACAGGAAGTAACCATAGAGAGAAAGAGGGAGTCAGGAAGACAGATAGAGATGCACAAGAAGTAGTAGGGAGGAACTTTGAGTTTGGTGGTCCTTTTTGGTCTAGGGCATCCAAGGAGGAAGGTCAGCTGGCTGCTTTCTCTGCCTCTCTGAGCTAGCAGGTTTTCACCCCAACATCTGGCTCTTGAGTCTTTATTGGTAAAATAAAAGGATAGAGGCTTAGTTAAAACAACAATTGTCTTCCTACATGAAGGCAGTTGGGTGGTGGCTATGGAGGCCCAATCAGTAGCTGAGGCAGTGATAAGATCAGGTGCAGCAGCTGTGCCCCAGATATAAAACAACCAATGAGATATAATGAAGGCTGTTCTAAGAGGCATGTTTATAGCACTAAGTAACTACAAAAAAAAAAAAAAAAAAAAAAAAAAAAAAAAACTGGACAGAAATCATGAGGCTAAAAAAAAAAGAAGCACACCTTTAAAGTATTTTAAGAAGTGAGAGCAGCATACTGTTCTTCAGACGGCTGAAACCCTGCCACATGTCGCCCTCTGAAACTGCTTTGACTGCTCCAGAGGCCAGCTTACCTTGTAGTCTCGGTTGGCATCACAGAGTTTCCACTTTCCATTAGGCACTCCCATCCTCTTATATTCCCTAGCAAGGTCAATGACCTCCCAACCCTTCAGTCGTTCGGAATCATTTTGTTTGGGATTATAAGAGAATGCATAGAGATCTTCATATTTTGCTGTAAAACAATAAAAGTCAATATAATGTAATTTATAAGGCAGTGGACTACAAATAAAATGATTTTAGGATTCTTTTTCCCTCCTTTTTTTTCTTTAAAAATTTCAAAGAGGTAGCTAAGACATGAACATACCTGAATTTAATATTTTCTAAGTTCCATAAAACAAATGACTATAGCTAAAGGCATATGTATAGACTCAAGATTTAAGTCATAGCAAAAGGTACCTTAAAGGTTAAACCTTCTATTGCATGCTTTTCCTTTTTCTTGAATGTAAAATTTTTAAAACAAAAATAGACACTTCTTACTCATCTTTTTCTCCAAATGCAGTGCAAACAAAATACCATAACAAAAAACTAGAAATGGCCAGGTGTAGTCCAAGCCTAAAACCAGAGCATTCACAAGACCAAGGCAGGACTCCAAGTTTGAGACCAGCCTAGGCAACACAGTGAGAACAAATCTAAGAAAGAAAGAGAGATCAAACAATAACTAACAAAACAGAGATGGCAGAGAGAGCAGAAAACTGCATTACACATTGTTTTTAAGTTACTTTAATGTGCATGGGTGTTTTGGCTGCATTTATGTATAGGTAACACTTGTTACTGGTACCTGTTCAGGCCAGAAGAGGGCATTGGGTCCTATGAGACTGGAATAATACGTTGTGAACTATTATGTGAGTGCTGGGAATCAAACCAGGTCCTCTGGAAGAGCAGACAGTGCTCTTAACCACTGAATCATCTTCTCCAGCCCCAGAATTACCCATTCTTATAGGTCAGTATAGACCCAAATCAACCAGGACATTAGCTCATAACCATCTTTGCTATATACCTTGGTTCAGTCTAGGACAATGGAATGTATTAGGTTCCACGTGCTCCTAGGTCACTCATGTGGACCTCCATCTAAACTGCTCAACTGAAATCCATGCTACCAAGTAATCCAAGTTATGCTGGGGACAGAAGCCTTCAGAGACCCAGGCCTGGGTAGTTGTTAGACTCGTTTTTAGGGCTTCTATCCCTCCCAACCCTCCATCTACTAAGACAGGATTTACTCTTGTGTCTGGTGCATCTACCACTCTAGCCACTGCTGCTAGAGGACCATGACCTTCTGTGACTTTCCATTTAGTATTACCTCTTTCATTAACAGAGAAAACCCACATTAAAAAAAAAAAAAAGTGAGGTAGGTTGGTCAGTAAGGTGCTTTTACGAAAACAAAAAGACCTGAGTTCAATTCCCAGCATCCAAGTAAAAGACCAGGTGTGATAGCACATGGTTGTAGTCCCAGTGCTGGGGAGATGGAGGCAGGTGATTCCCTGGGGCTTGCAGCCAGACAGCCTCCCCTAACCCGGCAAGTCCTGGGTCCCAAAAGACTGTCTCAAACAACCAAGTGGATGGCTTCTAAGTAAAGGCACTGGACCCTGGCCTCCATCCACACATGCACACATGTGACAGCTAATCTGCACACACACACGAACACATACACAATGTGCTACTTGCCTATCAATTAAGTTTTAAGTGCTAATATAACCTAAGGTAACTTCAGGCTGTACTAGGAGTCTCTCCTTACACAGTTCCTTCTTACACCACTCTTACAGTTCAAAGTAGTTTCATTATTTTTAAACCACTGTGTGGGAGTTCTAGACCACTGAGGGGCTAAGGGGTTGATAGCACATACAACCTACCTATAAGGTAAAGATAAAATAATAACAACACTTTAAAGCCTGCTGGAAAACCCATCTTAATCAAGTATGTGAGTTTTGCTCTCTAAGAACAACATACCTTGTTTTGACAGTTGCAGTAGAGAGTTATAAATATCATGGCAATCTCTTTCCCTGGGAACGATGAAATGCACGATCCTGAAGTTCTTGCACTGAATCACAAGTGGGCACCCAGAAGTGGTCAGAGCAAGTTTCTCCACAGAAGCAATATGGTGGTGTAGTATCTACAGCATAAACAAACAGCCACGTCACCAACACACAAAGCACTGATATACGTTCTTCTCCAGAGTACATAAATGTCAATGCTTCAATAAAGTCTCAAATGTTATGTGCTATCATACTTCACACATTTTAACGACTGGATGCCTGAGCCAAGAAGATGTTGTCATTTTTGTTAGTTTTTTCCATGTCATTATATGCTGGCTGAATGAGGGGCTGGGGTCATAGTTCAGCAGCAGAACACCTGCCTAGCGTGCACAAAGTCCCAGTTTCCATCCCAAGTGCTACAAAAATTTTAATTAATGTTTACTAAGTGTATGAATAAAGACGTCTCACTATAGAGTATGGCTTGATGGCATTTTGAAAACATAAGATTATCATCCCCATTGCTATTGATACTTTGTTTGCTACTAAGAATTCTTACTCTTTCTCAATACCATTTCTAGGCACTTAAAATATTTAAAGAAAACATTTCAGGAGAATAGCTTTCAGGTTCCTGAATAATTAAAAAGTCAATCACAGAAGAGATCCAGAAGTCCTAAATCAACCTTAAAAATGAATCATAAGCTACAGCAACAAACTCCATCCTGCTTAGTAGGGTTTTTTTTTTTTTTAATCTGTTTTCAGTTGAAAAGTGAAGGATGGATGACTATATGTGTGCTATATAATTATAATTATATTATGTTAATAATTATATTAACTGTACATATTAAACCTAAGGCTGACATGCAAGATTAAACACATATAAGTAATCGAGAAAAGCCTGGAAAAGTCTTAATGAGCTAATGCGTCCATGGAAACTGCACAAATGGTTCCCACACAGACAGAGCTCATACTTGGGGGATTAACTCCACTAACATGTGCACATATGGGGGGCCTAGTGCCCAGTTGCTCACAACCATCTAACAGTGCTATCTCACAGGGAACAGGGGCAATAACCTATAAGACACATGAATTAGAGATGACACTGTGTCATTAGGACCCCATTAAGACCCCAAACCATTTTCAGGAGAGTGACAAAAGAGTCTGACATCATGTGAGTGTAAAAGAATGTCTATCTGTACAGTGAGAAAGAGGCCCAAGGTCAGAAAGGCCGTTTCTAGAACCACAATGCTCCCATTACACAGACTCCAGGAGAGACCAACGGGATGCACTGCTAAGACCACAGGAAAGACGCGAGGAGAGGGGAGCACAGGCATCTCTTCGCTGACCCTCAGTCTGCAAGCACCTTACCTTACCTGCTGCGTTCATACAACAACAAAGGCCAACTCTACAAGAGACAACAAGAGCCTGCGTACTCTGAGCTGTACCCTGGGGTGTGTGATTCCCTGCCTTGGGAGGCAGAGACAACCTTTCCTCTTGGTTCTACTGCTCAGAAAGTAAGAACAGCTAGGACTTACTGAGCTGCTACTTTAACAGATGCTTTGCCTATTTTCTCCTATTTAATATTCACAAGAGTGCTCCGTGATGAAAGACACTACGCCCTTTTCATAGAGGTCTTAAACAGAAACACTGGGTCTGCCATTCCCTTCCCTTCTCTCCTTGCAATAATCCATCTTCACCAAGATACCGGAAATGTCAGGAACCTGCATTCACTGCCTTCCATTCAAATAGGTGTTTCCAAACGTCCCAATATCCCAACACTCAACACCATGGAAAGCTGTCAGGGTTACCTGGGTAAACTTCTCCCTGCTAAAAGAAAAGGATGCGGAATAAAGGCCACCCCACTCCCCAGCCCTGGGATGTCTTTTGGCATTTTCAGTCTGACAGTAACCTAGTCACAGTAGGAAGCACCTGAACGAGTCACCCAGCCTGCGAGCGGCAGGGCCAGCCTTTGAGGCAACACTGCACCACTGCACTGCCTAATGAGCTCCCTTTATTACTCTGCCCAGACACTGTCTGCATCACCACATCCCTGGGCTCCAACTTCTGCACCTATGAAGTGGGGATCCCAAAACCTGAAATCATCAGGGCTGTAAGAAACATGACCAAGGCACTCCCTCTGGAGTATGCCATCCCCTTTCCTACATAGCGTGTAATCTGCATTTTACTTATTCATCATCTGGTTCTCCCAACAAGAGCATATCTCCATGAGAACTCAAGTTTTATGCTAAGATTGGCTATTATTTCCAAAACACCTAGAATAGTGATATGAAAACACAACAGGTATTCAGTAAATATCTGCTAAAGGAATGAGAGAATAAGAGAAGAAAAGGCATCAGGTAGTCATGACAACCTTGAACAAGCTGAGAGGATCAGCAATTTTGGATATCAACACATATAAAAAGCTACTGTTAACAAAGAAGTGAGGCCGGGCAGTGGTGGCACACGCCTTTAATCCCAGCATTTGGGAGGCAGAGGCAGGCAGATCTCTGTGAGTTCAAGGCCTGCCTGGGCTACAGAGTGAGTTTCAGGAAAGGCGCAAAGCTACACTGAGAAACCCTGTCTCAAAAAACCAAAAAACAAGACAAAAAAACAAAGAAGTGAGGCAGGTAAAGTGTAGTCGATATGTGAAAAGAGCAGGACCGACAGCTGGACAGCAGCCCCCACAGACACAGAAGCTTTTCCTCAGGAGAGAGCTGGGTCTAGTGACAAAGGGAATGAAGCAGTCAGCACGTGGTACCAAATAAGCAGGATGTCACACCATACCCCATAGTCTCTCCCAGATGGACAATAAGACTTGAAATCTTCAGAAGAAGAAACCACAGAAGCAGCAGCTTCCTTACACCCACACACAGGGAGGCTTCCTAAGTGTACTACACAGGAACAAAACCACAGAAGAAAAAACTGAAAAGTCTATGTTAAAAATGCAAACTTTATTTAAAGACACGCACACAAAAGACTAGCTATAAATGGGAAAAGCCAATGACGACACACACTCTCATAAAGCATCAAAACGCCGAACTCAGAAATCAGAAGACAGGGCTGGGGATGGAACTCTGGGGAATGGGCTGGGGATGGAACTCTGGGGAATGTTTGCCTTGCACAGTCAAAACCCTTCTCTAGCACAAAAAATTAAAATCATTTTAAAAGTCAATAAATAGAAATAAAAAGGATAGGTAATCTAATAGAAAACTTAAGAGCCAAAACATCTGCAGGGATGACATCTCTGGACTCAGCAAGTTGACATGGCAGTTGCCCCTCTGAATTAGATAGCCAGGGCTCTTTAAGATGACAACGTCAGTGTTGCTGAGGACACAGGAAAACCTAACACTCCACTGAGAGGAATCATCTGAAACAGTCATTATGAAGGAACAATATGAAAGTTTAAACGTGCATTTCTACAAGACCTAGCGATGTCTTCTCATTTCCAGGAAAATGTCTAAGAGAAACCCCAGCACGTACATAGAAAGAAATGATACACACAAGATTTTGCGGAGTTGACCCTTCAACATCACAGGTCTGGGGGCATCAACAAGTAAAAAACCCAAGCTTAACTTTGGCTCCCCCCACTTCACCGCTAGTAATCTGACTACACGTACTTCCAGTAATATAGCCATTAACATATTTTATGTTACACATTAGACACAGTGAAAATACATGAGGTCCCTGGGCCATCACTTTTTACTGCACTATGCAATTTCTGGGAGAAATAAGCACCATCTGCTCATGATTTGATGGTCACAATCAGCCCACAGCATTTGAAGCAGATTCTTGCCATGGTTGATCTTGCCGCACTGGTAAGAGAAGTGGCTACAAAATCATTTCACTAATATACTACTACTATGCAGTATGGTGACTCCAAATGGTACCCTCTACACCTTGTGTCTGTATGTGTAAATTTGGATAAATCTGTGTAACAGATTTTCATTTATAACAGTAAATGAAAAAAAAAAAAAACGACCATATGTTTAATGCATCCATGACATATTTAACTTTTTCTTAATTTATGAATTATTCCTATACTACATGACTTACCTGTAAGGGTTTTTTGTTCAAATTGTAATCTAAAAGACAAACAAACAGGAGAAGAAAGAAGAGCTGGAGAAATGGTTTAGACGTTAAGAGCACCTACTGCTCCTGCTCCTGCTGAGAACCTGAGTTTAGTTCCCAGCACCCACGGCAAGGAACTCACAACCACCTGTAACTCCAGTTCCAGAGAGCTAATGCCCTTTTCTGTACTCTATGGGCACCTGAATTCATACATGCACATAACCCTACACAGAAATACACACATACACATAATAATAAATCTTAAAACCAAAAAAGAAAAACTCAGCATATGTGTGGACCTACACAGTTCAAACCTAATATGTTGTTGAAGCATCCACTGAATTCTATCTGCATATGCACACTTTAAAATGTACTTAAAAGTATGCCTGCAATGCATATTTGGACACGGACACACACACACACACACACACACACACACACACACACACACACACCATATTTATATAAGTATACTGCAATGTTTAAAGTTACAAAAAAGAAACCTAATTGTAATTTGACATTAAAATGTTATGGTATACTATACAATCCATATGGTTGTTAATATGCACAAACATTACCTAGACTTTTAAAAAACTAAAGGAACAAAAAGGCATTTTCTAAGTTTTTACACAGGTTTAAAAGGTCTATAATTCCCTATTACAAATGATATTAATGACCCATAGAAGGGAGGCAGAAGTCACTTGAAAACAAAAAATTTGATTGATCTGTGAGTAGTTACACATGCCTATAATCCTAGTTCACCAGAAGATGACAGACAGCAAATTCAAGGCCAGCCTGGGCTACATTGCAAGACCCTACTCAAAAAACAAAGCAAAACTAATAAAAAAACTGGTTGAGATGAATAACCAGTGACTAAACAATCAGTCCATTGTTGTTGCTACAGAAGATAGCCCTGCTATGGTCTTACCCAGGTTTCTTTCTGCTGAGCGTCAATAAATAATAGATGTGTGGCCGTAAGATATAGTGTTCCCGTCAGTGACTTGTTGTTGGTACTAAACCGGTCAAGTAACTTTACTTGTTCAACCTAAGAAAGAAAAAGATGTTATTTTGCA